AAAAGTTGTTTCAGAGAAGAGTTTAGGAAAGGGATAGAGACAGGAGGCTATTGAGTATTTCATGGTAATTTGCTCCAGGACTTCATAATTAGAAAGCTGGTTGTAAATATCTTCAGAATTCTTCTGAATTTATAGGTAAATTATCAGGAGCCTTTAAGATGTGCCACTTCTGGCAAGATCTTTCTAAAAAGAGAATCTTGCTATTGAAAACAAAACTGAAAGCAAGTAATGATAAATAAAGCTACACTCTGTGAGTGTGCTGTATGCTCAGCATTATATGCCAGTTTCCAGAAAGTATTTCCAGAAAAACGAATTTCTGGCTCTGATCGCTTAGATCTAAGACATGGGAATTACAGAACTCAGATTCTTAGAGCCAGAGACTTTAGGAGTCAAGCAGTTCAAGTCTTGGATTTCCATATATATTTTTTCCTTTCTTTTTTTTTTTTTAGAGGTTTTTGCTATAGGGCGTGTGTGCTCGCCAGAAAGACAGAGAGAGACAGAGAGACAGAAAGCGAGAAATCACCCCCCAGGGGGTATGGCCATGCCACAATCCCTTCTCCTCCACTCTCCTCTTGAGATCTTGGGCACGCACGCACATGCGCCCAGCATGAGTTTAAGCCACCGGGTCTGGGATTCGAACCACAGTTGGCTACATGGGAGTTCAGCAACATAGCCATTACGCTAACTGCTGATCCCATCCATATATATTTCTAATGCTTGTGCTTCAAGAAAGGAAACTTAGAATCAATAATGCTACAGAGCTTCCCATAGTCACCCAGCTGATGGGTTCCAAAGTCCTGCTTCCCCAGCATCCTCAGCACTCTTCATTAAGCCACATGGTACCCATGCCCCGCCCTCCTCCCCACTCCCTCAAGCTGTCATGATGTGAAGGGTTTATACAACTAGTAAGGAAAAAGAGAAAGAGATTCACAGCAGCATGGAGCTTCAGAGGTCACATGCCAGTCCCTTTATCTGTGAAATGAAGATAGTCCCAAAGAGGTTGCATGGCCCACCCAAAATTACTCAGGAATTTGTGACACAGTTGAGCCTGGCCTTTCTCGTCTCGATCATCTTTCAGTTACCTTCTTCTCAAAGCTCCCCCAGGTGTCCAATGGCATCTTAGGTGAAACCACACCCAGAGAAGCCTTAGCGCACCTCAGATGCCTATGTTAAATTCAAACCACACCAAAGCTTCGGTTCTCACTGGGATGGCACTGTGTAATTTTTCAGGTTTATGAAGTATGTTCGATGGTGACCCTCTCTTCCCCCCAAAAGATATGTCTGCATCAAATTTCTGGAACTTGTGAATGCTAACTCATTTGGGAAAAGGCCTTTGCAGGTGCAATTAATTCACGAATCTCAAGATGAGGAGATCATCCTGGATTATCTGGGAGGGCTGTAAATTCAGGTACAAGTTTCCTTATAAGGGAAAAGCAGAGGTAAGTTCAACACAGATTGAAAAGTACACTGCACAGAGAAGGCGGCCATGTGACAGTGGAGGCAGAA